CTTGAATTAGGGAAACATTTTCTGTTTTAAAAACTAATCTTGAGGTCCAGGGAGATAGCTCAGTAGAATAAGCGCTTGCCTGGCAAACACAAGGCCCTAAGTTCAATCCCTGGTACCACAAAAATAAATAAATGAATAAATAAATAAAAATAAAAACTAATCTTGGGCAAATATTTTAATTTCTGATTGAAAATTCCTTATTAATCAGTGTTGGGACATATTATTTTAGGCTATGCCAAGAGTATTAACAACCTCCATATTTAACAACATAAAAGAATAATAAAACATATTTTAAAATATTTACCAATTGAAAGGAACTATTCCTCTTTGGTGTGTGGGTTGTGGTGGTCTGCCTCGTGGCATCATTCAAGAACCCATGCTACAATAAGTGCCCACATCTTCACATAAAATTTCTTAGATTGATCTGGACATTGACATAAAGTCTGTAGAGAAGTGAAGGGAGAAATGGTTGTGCACATACATTTTATGGGCCAGGCCTGAAATGTAAATGTATTACTTCTGTTTCTTTTTATCTTTTTTTTTTTTTTTTATGAATCAGTCAGTGAGGGCACACTAAACTGGAAGGGACTCTGGAATTTGCAGTCTTCTGTGTTCCAGAAAGCAAAGAAAGTAAATTTATTACACATTAAACAAGGAATGTTCAAAGTAGCAGAAAGGAGACTACTGGACAAGAAGGGGGGGGAAGGGAAGGGAAGGGCTAACCAAGAGGATGATGGGGGCTGGAAAATAGCCAAGTGTGCCATATGTAGGTATGCAAAGGCCAAAAATGAAACATTATTCTGTAGATCTAATTTGCACTAATAATAAGAGAAGTCTTTATGTCATTTTCTGAGAATTTATACTAAAAATTGTCACAAAGGTCTAAGCCCCTCTTTAACAAAATATACATAGCCAGATCGATAACCACAGCCATGTATAAAATTTTAAATGCTCTTTAGTGAAAATATTTCCAGGAGATTGTAATAAAAATAATTCTAGATGAGACATGTTTAACGACCAGGTTTTTCAGGTCATCTTATAAAAAAGAAAATTGACATTTTAAAGTAATGATACATAGCACTGGGCATATCAATAGTTCCTAAGCATTTATTAGGGAGAAAATACACGTTACCCGGAGATGATATTAAACTAAAAGAAAGACGTCATTGCAAGATCTGTGCAGTTAGAGATTGCTCAGCTAAGCTTTGAAACAAGAGGAGCTGGCCATGAAAAGGTGGGAACACATGCAAGGGGCAGCCGTGTGTCTTAGGATGCTAACAGATGGGCTTTTGGTCTAGGAGGCAACAAAACTGGACTTGCCAGAGACTTTTGATCTTGTGTTAACAGTTGTCCAAATTTTGGCTTTCCTAACCAGTCAATTTTCTTTTTTGCTTAATTTAGTTAAAAATCACAAAATTGTCATGCCATTGAGCATGGTCTGGGGATCCTGAAAGAGGATACAGGGATCCAAACCTTTCTCACAAACTCTACAAAACAGGATTGTTGAATTTTGTCATAGAAAAATTTCTTTTTTTTTTTTAAATGTATTTAGCACAGGGTCTATGGGGTCTCACTACACAGATTAGACTAAATAGTGATCCTCCTGTTTTCAACCTCCTAAACTTTGGGATTACAGATGCACACTACCACAAAGCCCAGTCTCAATCACCATCTCAGCGTGCCCCCAGGGCACTTTGGTCTACTCTGACCATCCCTGCATCTGCCTAAGCAGGCATTTTAATCTGCTGAGCTATCTAGCCAGCCCAAAAAATAATCTCTGTTATTTAATTTTTTCTTGTATTTTAAGGAAAGGTCTACAGGGTGTTCAGGGTCTCACTACTAGATTGGACTTGTAGTGACTCTCCTGTTTACAACCTCGCAATTGCTGAGATTCCAGGCATGCACCACCACGCCCAGTCTCAATTGCCATCTCACTGTGCCCTGGGGATGAGGCCAGCATGGCAGGCCAGGGGTTGGAAAAAATAATTTCTGGACATACCCATGAAAAGCATAGGCATATTTATTATGCAAAATTAGAAAATAAGGAAAAAAACTTCCACTTGAAGAGCTAATGGAAGCATACTCTGATGTAGAGTGATAGGTTTTTGAGTGTCACAGCAGAGAAATATGCAGAAGGAAAAAGGAAAAGGGGCTTTATTATTTTGGAGGACAGGGAGAGAATCTTGGGAAGATAAGCAAGTCTTTGGATTGGAACAAAGGGAGGCTGAGGCTTTTCTGGCATTTTGCCAGGGGTGGAGTTTGAAGGGGATGTTTAGGTATACCTGAGGAGCTGACTGGGGCCTTCCCTGGGATGGTGGGAAAGGTGAAGGGAAATTGTATCCTGGGCTGAGTTGGGGAAGTGGTCTCTGGGAAGATAAGCTGTTGTTTTAAGGGCTTCAACTATATTAGATGGCCACCATAATGATTCAGCAATTCATAGTAGTGCCAGAACCTATCATAGAGGACAGACTGCTCCATTAACAAAAGAATAGGACTATTTTTCATGACTTCTCTCAGGTGGGTGAGGGTGAAATTTACCTCTGGACCATGAGCAAGGTCTCATGTTTTAGAAAATTTCCTCTGGCAGGGGAGCTGGGGAGATAGCTCAGTAGACTAAGTGCTTGCCTGGCAAGTGCAGGGTCCTGAGTTCAATCCTGGGTACTGGAAAAAAAAGGGGGGTGGGCATCACTTTGGGGTCCTGCCCATTAGCTCAACTGTTTAAGTGATTGCTTAAACAAAGCAGTCAGGCTAAGGATGCTGTGGTTCGATCCCCATATCCTCAAGCCTTGACAGACTTGTCCTGAAGGCATCCTGAGCC